GCTCCCTGAGGAGGGCTGATGAACTCATCAACTCCATAAAAGCTACCAGCGGGACTCCACGCATCTCATCCGACCACATCCCTATCCCACGCGCAGCGGCCATACGCTCCTCCGACTCTCTTTATTTTGGTTGCAATCTCCATGAGGCCTACACCGCTCCAAGCTTCCAACCGCCACTTCTGATAGCGAGAGCCCGCAAACACTCCGGCCTTCCCCCAAACCAACGACTTCCACCGGCCAGAGCGACACGACACAGACATAGAATCCGTTGCCATGGCAAACGAGCAGATCTCGCTGCCGTATCTGGTGATGATACTGCTGGTTACGGCATTCGTGATACGGTTCCTGTTCTTTTCGCCCGCCCCGCCACCGGCGCCGCGACAGAGCGCTGCAGCGGTACTACGTACGCGCGAGGCAGCCGTGGAGAGGATACAGCAGATGTTCCCGCAAGTAGACAGACGAACGATTCTTTGGGATTTGCAGAGAAACGGTGGAAATATCCAGGCGACGTCTGAGAGGATCCTCGCAGGACGGATGGAAGCTGTGAGTTTGAATCCTTGCCTTTCCCAACTTCATCTCGGGCGAAAGCTCGATGTGCCGAGTACGCGCGCGCCGGCTATAACATCATGGCTGGGAGCCACTATGCCCCACGATACACGGATCACTTTCTCCTAATGTAGTGCACCTCTTTTTTGCTAACCTTGGTACGTGTCGTCGAACAGCCCCCAATCACTTTCCAGCCCCCTCCCCCGCCGGGAGCGAATAACGCAGCGTCCAGCTCCTCGACACCGGCCAAGGCGCCCGAGAAGCCCACACAGCCGGACCTGATTACGAGATACAAGCTCCAAGATAAGATCTCGGCGCAGCAACAGCGGCAAGCGGAAGCGGACGCCGCCGCCGTCGCGGAGAAGGAGAAGGAGAAGGCGGCCAAGGGGTGGAGCTCGAACAGGGACGAGAGGCAGTCGCTGTTGCAGAAGCGGAGGGACGAAATGATTCTTGCGGCGCGGCGGAAGATGGAGGCTAAGATTGCTGCTGAGAAGGCGGCATAAGGTAGCCTTGGATTGAGACGAAATGGGATGGGCCTTTCACAGCGCATTGTTCTCTTGATTGTTGAAGGCACGCGAAGAGATTGGGCGGGGTATGTGTATTTGGGAATTCTGTACACTCACACTCACATACATACTTGTACAGAAACAGCCGAGAACGAAGAGCTCTTCGGCTTCAGTCTAGTTTGGAGGAGGATGGATGAGGATATAATTGCACATACTTCTTATGCCTCCAACGCTGTGGGGAAGCCTACCTGGCCTTACACTACTTTGGCACATGTCACTTTTCTCCTCGGAACCGTGGGCTTAGCTGACTGATGGCGCGATGTGGATCTGGCTTGACTACCTTACCTCATGCAGTGAGAATATGCGTTGAGAAGAAGGACCCTGATGAGTCGGTTTGAGCTTGATAAGCATGTGCTGCGGTTGAACGGGACGGTTTTGAACCTGGTCGAGATAAGATTCTAAGGGCACGCCACTCGGTAGTTGTCGCAAGTAAGGAAACGGAGAGCGGGAGACCCAGGCGCCGTTGGTATAAGTGCAATCGTATAAGTGTCGCCCATCTTCATGAGGGGTTTGGTTCATCGGGTCTGAATGACACGAGCTTGACGTCTCCTGTGGGCTTGACTCATACGTTTTGTTTGGCGCTTATTCAAATTCACCACCAGAAAAGTTTGGAGTGGTTTATCACGTTTCGTCAGTGAAGTTCATACAAGCGGGAAGTCATGACATGCTGTGAGATATGTATGTGGAGCTTATGTAGAGACTGCGGGACGGAGGTGGTAGGATGTTCTCGTCATTATCACAGTTACTCGATTTCATTCGAGCAGAATTTTCGTCACCACGGTTGTTTATCTGCCTTGGCATCACGTTGCAGACGCAGCGCATGTGATTGAGGCTCTCTCACTCTCACTCGGCCGAGCCGCATGATAGTGGTTTGTGTGGCCGGACAGACTGTCTCGCCTCGAGGAGGAGGGGGGGGGGGGGGCAACGGCCATGAAATCTTGTCTTACATGCGTGTTGGCTCCAGATGCAATGATGGGTGGCAACATGCACGTTGCATTGCCATTTTAATAAAAGAAGTCTCGCCTCGAATAGTCTCTTATCTCGACGGCAAAGTTCTTCTCATGCTGCTGGACTGAAGACCTGAACGAGCCAACGTTTTCATGGGTCCATGCTTTCCTCCCGTTTCCCCGAGTCGGGTGGGAAAAAAGCACGGGACGATTTGAGAATGACTCGGGAAAACGACCCGTTCCTCGGACATGAATTCCTGAGAGACACGTGGGGGTTCTGTTCCGCTGAGATTCGTGGACCGTGAAAGAGTCGGATAACAACATGGAATGCATGTTTAGGTAGCTTCGAGGCAGAGAAAAGAGACTGAGACATGGGCGCAACATGGTGCAGGCGTGTAGGTAGTCAGAGGTGAGACTTGGGCCTGGGCCGCGGGCAAATCTTTATCGTTCTTCATCGATCGCGTGAGTTGTCGTAATACAGCAGCATGGGGGCCCGTCACACTGATGATTGTCTTGTTTGCGTAAATGTCACATCTCGTCATTTGTTTCCTGGGTTACCCAGATCAGGCATGCCGTCGGTATTGCACCCTGTAGGTAAGATAAGGCAATTCTCCGACTGGTCTCGTTCGACTGATAAGAAGAGGTTGTTGGAAATTCAAACTCGGGATGACAAGACCCCTCTCTTTACGCCGCATTTTGATCAAAAACAATCCGAGGTTTTGCTACTATGTAACAGCAGGAGGAGTAGGAGGGAAGTTAGCGCCAGTGTCAATGAGACAGAGGCAAGTATCTCATTACTGAGGTGTGAAAGAATGCGGTTCATCTTGTAGTTGAAATGGTGAGTGAGAGAGTTGTGGGAGGGCGTGGAGGGGTTCAAGGAGGGGTACATGGCACGGGATGCTACAGCCCAGTGTCCGTACCAAGATTTGGCGGCGTGTTCTGACGGCTGGATCTCACTTGCTGTACGAGTCTAGTTTCTTTCTATTCTTTCCTTCGGGGGTGGGTTTCTCCTCCCATTCCGTTTTTCTCGTTCCTGTCTAGCGCCACCAAGTCTTTGGCTTGGAGATTGTAGACGTTGTGTCACTGAATGTCACTCCTAACCGGAGGCTTCTTTCTGCCGATCTCATGCGACGCTCGTGCAACCGTTGAATCAGCCCCCCCTACAACGGGGTAAACGGGTTCAAGATAATGTCCCGCAGAAAGATGCAGCGTGACACAGCCAGGGCTCGCGACATGGCGACTTGATGGCCTGCAGAATCGTGACGAAAGACTGTAATCCTTTCAACTGCACCCGCTGCTCTGCTGCGATATCTACACAGCGCTGTATGAGAGGCCATGAATGCCAGGAGCCTCTTGACACTGGACCCTTGTAATACTTAGCGTCCTAATTGCGCGCATGTACCTAGGGTGGGGACCCTCGAGAGACTCAGAGAGTGAGTGTGCGTGTGAGAGACAGGGCGTATCCGTAGACTTCCGCGTGAGGGCTACCTCTTCATGCATTCGCTGCATTGGCGCCATGTGTTTTGTGGGTGGCTATGGGCATGGGAGCATGGATGGATCAGATAGAGAAAGACAAGACCGATAGAGAGCCCCGCTTCGACCCAACATTTCTGTCTTTCACATGCTTTTTGGACTGGCTGACTAGACTGCAAGTCCCTCCCCGTGAGGCCCGCCTTCACCGCAGGACATATCCACTGCCACAGACGAGGAAACGAAGAAGAAAAACAAGGCGAACGAATCTGCGATAATTAGCATGGGGCAAAGAAGGAAGAAAAATACTGCAAAAGGCTGTTTGGGCATGGTCAGCTAAGATGGGAGGCGGGAGGGGGGGGCCTTTGTGTTAAGTCACTGTATCATGGTTCGACCAGCATGTTGCGCAGTTCTGCTACGCAATACGGTGCGACGCGCATAGTACGTAACAAAGACATGAGGACGTCAAAGTACCTTTTTCATCGTTATCCGTACCTTACCGTTCTCTGACTCTGCATTTGACAGCCAAGGTTCCGTGCTTGCAGAGACTCGAGAAGTAGAGAGACGTATTATCTCCCAAAACATGAGGTAAACTTTCCCTCATCTGACGGGACTTTCTTTTCCACTTCGTATCAGACTATCTGCGAGCCGGCCACCGCCGATTCGATCCATCCGCCCATCAGATTTCCCGCCCCCTACCCGCCTCAGCGGGAACGACTACCAAAGAAAGAAGATGCAAACCGGGGGCAGAAACAGGTCATTCACCACTCCCAACCGACACACTCCATCTGCCCCTCCACTTGCAGATTCTTTCGCTTCTTAGTCGAGACTCCAAAGTACCTACTACTACCTTGCTCTACTAGGTACTGCACTCCGTGACTGGCCTTACTTGACCTTGCCTCTTCTCTTAAACCTTTCCCCCCCCTCCCCCTTCGCTTTCTTTGTCTCACCTTGGATTTTGCAACTCGCTCAAAGAAGCTTCAAACCCACTGATTATCCTAGGACTCGACCTGGATCAGCCAAACAATTTTTGTTTTTTCTTGCCAATTCATCTTCGTCGTCTTCCTCTGCGTAGCATCCTACCTATCTTAGACTCAAAAATTCCAACCACTCTCACTTGCATACAACCGTTGCCGCAAGCACATCTGAACGTGGGATTTACAACAAGCGGGGCACTCTCTTATCAACACTTTTTCTCGACAACATTCCCTCAGTCGCAAAGCAACGGGCGCTTGGGCTAGATCTCGACGTTCTTGGTCCGTAACATTCCTTCACTGGCGACAACGCCCTACGCCCTCGCCATCACAAGCCTGGGACTTACCAGAATAGCAGACCGAGAACAGACCGCCACGCCATCTCACCGAATTCCCCGACAACCATAGATTGTCAACACAAGCGGACAGACGGACGGTAGCGACTTACCCCCTTCCTTCGCCTTCCTCCCGCTCAAGAGGGGAATAACAAAAACACAATGCCCCCCTTGCGGCCCTGGGGTCCCATTTTCGAAGAGATTACTCTCCCGCAGAACAGAATGTCATCGACGGTCTTCTCGATGCTGCCAACATCTCTTCAGTCCCGGCTACCGCCTCTGCGGTCTATCCGCAAGAGCGCAAGCATGCAAACCCTCACCTCGAGCAGGCAATCACACACCCGCACCCTGTCGGGACTCGACGACGGCGTCCACAGAAATATTACGCAGGCGCGCCTCGTCTCCGAGAGCACGGAAGAGCAGCACATGAGCTTGGTGGCCACAGAGCATCGGACGTATGAGGTGCGATCGGCGGCCGAGAAGCATGAGCAGCAGCGGCAACAAACGGAACAGTATTATCAGCAACAGCAACAGCAAGCGTCTAGCCAATCTTCAAACGTAGATTGGCGCTTCGCCCAGCAAGGTGAGAGCCGTTGTGATATTGGTTGATGCCTCCGACTTACCTTTTGCTCCGCAGGACTTGCTTTGATCGCCGTCGCCCAAGATGAGTTGAGGCATCCGTCAAGGCGGCCGGCAGTCGATTTTGAGAGGAAAGCGTTTCTCGACGGCGTCGAGTACATCCTTAAGGCCCTTCCCAGCGACCTAAACGAACACGAGCTTCACCGACTACGCACGTCGACGCCCTCCAATTTCATCCCACCACCAAGTCCGAGCGGCCGGGCGTATTCTCCGTCGCGGGGTGCGAACAACGGCAGATCGATTCTTCACCGGGGCGTCCAAATCGCAGTCGTCAACATCTTCATCCTCATCCACCTGGCGCTGCCGTACATCATCCTCATGCTGCGGTTAGCGGCCCGCACGGAGAGGGAGTACCGGATATCGGAGAACCTTGTGGGTGCGGGCATGGGTCTCGCCAACGCGATCGGCAGCAAGGGAATGCGCATAACCGGGGCGCTGTACAACGTTGGCGACGGCAGGCTCGGGCAGGCTCTCACAGAGGCCGTTGCCTGGACGGTTGAGGGCCTCACGGGAGGTCTATCCGATGGTGTAGGCGAGGGCCTGTCCATCGTGGCGCCCAAGAGACAATGAGATGACCGGCATGAGGACATTTAACGCACTATGATATGGGAATTTTATCATATTTTTTCGGGTTTAGACTTTCGGCGTATATCTCCGTTTCCTTGTTTCTGGTTAGGTATGGTTGCTGCAAACGCAGGTACTTTTTCTCGGTGGAACATCTCTACTTGAAAGATTCAGTTAGACCAAGTGTGGGATGGAGCGGGCTCTACCTGAGCTTTACAATAGCTCACACTAGCTTGCTGGGTTGAGCTTAGCTAGGAAAGCCTCTTGTCATTTGCATCTCACTTGAAAGCTTACTTGACTAGGAGGTTTCCTGCGATGACCATAGAAATCGGAGTTTCGCCAGCGCATCGCCACGAAATGTCGGTGGTGCGCAAGGATTGGGTCATAGAGAAACTCATTTTCAACACTAATGAATCAACGACCTTTGGTTTTTGTTGGTGCAAACGAGTGAGAGTTGCTTCCCTCGAGAATCTTATGATAGATAAAGTACAGAGTAAGGGAAGACTAAGTTGAGCAGGGATACGGAGTACAGCAAACCGGCTACCCGCCATAAATTTGGCCAGACCTTCTACTGTCCGTTCTGACCGGTCTACAAAAGGGTGGTGGTTTGTCATACGACTCTGGCACATCGTTGGAACTTCAGTGTATGTTTGAGCAAAGGGAGTAGGCAAAGGTTCGTGATTGTTCACATTAGTTGAGGTTGAGTTGAGAGAGCCAAAGTATGAGTGCTCCGATGATAGACGCTAAAAGCTTGCCTCGCAGGGGTCGAAGCCGGAGCGCCCCGGGGCGCGTCAATGAGTGGCTGCTTCATCCCGTCCCCTGTTAGTCGCAGGAAAGACCCACCGAAAACCAAAGGAACCAACCGAAGCTCAGCGAAAACGTGAGTGATGGGCAGATAAGGCCGGGAAAAAATTCTTATCGGCTCGCCTCCTGTCTCCTAGCTCCTTCTCGCAATCCAACTGGCGAAAAAAGAGGACGACAGATTTGCATCCTACACACCCTCTTTCGCCCACTCCCTTTTTTTCTTTCTAGAACCAAAGAGCTGTATTGTATCGTCCTTTTTCTTCGGTAGCTACTGTTTTTAATCACTTTCTACAAAGACACATACATACAAATGTTTCGCCAATCCCTCAGGAGGTGCGCTCGCATCAGCGGCGCAACCTTCGCCGCCCCGGCTCTCCGAACGACCAGACCTGCCATCCTCCAGACAATCGCAAAGGCTCCAGCAAGCACGCTTCGCGTGCCACTCAGCATTAATGCGTTTAGACAGTACTCTAGCGAGGCCGCCAGCGCTGCGGCCGCGCCGGTCGCCGAGGATGAAGGAAACGCTTCGGGTCTGACGACCAAGTTCGCGGATTTGACGAAGTTGGGCGTTCACTCTACCCTTGTCGACACCATCACGAACAGAATGCGGTACGAGAACATGACGGACGTCCAGAGCAAGACCATCGAGCCTGCACTGAAGGGCATGGACCTGTAAGTCGAATTCAATCATCATCAGCGCGACTACGCCGTACAATATACTAACGCTACCTCACAGTGTCGCCCAAGCAAAGACAGGTACCGGAAAGACCCTGGCATTCCTCGTTCCCATTTTGCAGAGGATGATTGCGGCGGATCCGTCGCTCGCAACCAGAAAGGCTCGTTACCAGGCCAGCTCAAAGGATATTCGTGGGATCATCATCTCCCCTACACGTGAGCTTGCCGAACAAATCGCCCTCGAGGCCGAGAAGCTGTGCCAGGGCACGGGCCTGGTCGTCCAGCGTGCCGTCGGTGGAACACGAAAGGGCGAGATGCTGCACAAGACCCGTAGAGAAGGTTGCCACTTGCTCGTTGGTACACCCGGACGTCTCAACGACCTTCTCGAGGACCCCTACAGCGGAATTGAGGCACCTAACCTGGCTGCGATTGTCCTCGACGAGGCTGACCGCATGCTCGACGTCGGTTTCGAGAGAGAGCTGCAGTCTATCGTCGATCAGCTGCCCGACCCCAAGACTTCTGCGCGCCAGACTCTGCTCTTCTCTGCTACCATCCCCAAGAACGTCATCGCTCTTGCCCGCCAATGGGTCCGGCCCGACAACTTTGACTTCATACAGACCATTTCCAAGGACGACGTTCTCACCCACGACAGAGTTGATCAGCACGTTGTCCACTGCAGAGGCTGGGCCAATGTCTTCCCTGCCATGTACGAGCTCATCGACAAGGAAATCCAGAAGAGAACTGCCGACCGGGATCTGCTGCCCTTCAAGGCCCTTGTATTCTTGCCTACGTCAGCCTTGGTCGATCTTGCTGGCGATGTCGACATTACGATGAGAGGCGACCGTGACCGCGTCCAGGGATGGAGAATCCACTCCAAGCTCACCCAGGGTCAGCGCACGAAGGCTGCAGAGTTGTTCCGCAAGGCCAAGTCCGGCATCCTGTTCTCCACCGACGTTACTGCCAGAGGTCTCGATTTCCCCAATGTCACCCACGTTATCCAGATTGGCGCTACCTCAGACCGTGAGCAATACATCCACAGACTCGGCCGCACGGCTCGTGCGGGCAAGGAGGGTGAGGGATGGTTGATTCTCGCCGACAGCGAAATGGACCTTGCCCGCCGGGAACTGCAAGGCCTTCCCTTGAAGCCCAACAAGACGATCGAGTGTGCTCAGCACGACTTCACCAGCGGAGACGAGCCTACGGCGATTTGCGAGAAGGTGACCCAGGCTACTGCTCGGGTCGACCCCCAAGTCTTGGAGGTTGCCTACCTGTCCCTGTTCGGCCAGAACCGCGACAACGTTCAGGCCAAGGTTGACGAGCTCCGCGAGTGGTGGGTCAATGCCATGGAGCAGGACGATACACCCGCCCTGAGCGCTTCCACTATCGAGAAGCGTGGTCTGCGTAGAATCAGGGGTCTCAATGTCAGACAGCCGGGCTCTAGATACGGTAGCGACAGCGGCGGCCGTGGTGACCGTGAAGGCTTCAGCCGTGGTGGTGACCGCGGTGATCGTGGTGGTTTCAGCCGCCGCGAGCCCCGCGATGCTTTTGAGAAGATGGAGATGGACAGCACTAGCTCTGACCGCCGTTCCTCTGACCGCCGTTCAGGTGGTTTCAGCCGGGGCGGAGGACGTGGCTTTGGTGGAAGAGAGCGTCAACAGAGATCCTCCTGGTAAAGCAGAAGATGACGACACCAGCGCCCCGGAAGCGTAGTGGGCGCGAGCGGAGGAAAGAAGAGAACAACCAACAACGAAAGAAGCAAAGGCCCCAATGAATCGGAAAAGGTCTGTGAGATACGGAAGACGTTTTTTTAACGACCTCGGAAACTGAATTAGACATGTCACACCATACCCCATACCCAATCCCCCATCACCATCACCACCACTCCCCTTTCTTCCTGTTTTTAAGAGGGAAACAGGCTTGTATCATACCATTTTTGTAACGGAGCATAGGAAAAGGGGGGCTTTACTCGAGGGAGTTGTGCTTGTATTACCACCACCGGCATTGGGACAGAGCTATAGCGCCTCGAGAGAGATTTCAACTGTACGAGATTAACCGGGGTGATAAAAAGCTACACAATTGTAGCGCCATGTAAATAATACTGAGGGACATTGAATCTCCAAATCTCATCTTCAAAGATACAAACATTTAATCCACTCTTGTCTCGTGTGAGCTGAATACTACGTGATACTTTTCTCGATATCATTGATTCTAAGTCAAGACGGTGCTTATCTCTGTGTGCTCATCAGCTTAAATGGCAGCAATGGTCTGCCCTGCACGTACAGTTCCCTGGGCAGTTCATATCAGATCAGACTTGTATTGATTGCGAGTCCCATCAGCTCCAAGTAACGCCAGGCAAATGTTATTTTACAGCCATGTACGATTTTCCCAGAAAAGGGGTTGGCCAGGTCCCCCTTTCTGTTTCTGAAGATTATCACCATCCTCGTTATGTACGCGCGCGCCCGCCCTCTAAGAATTCCCTCCCAAACGCCCAAATATCAAAAGCCTAGAATGCGCGCCTCTTCCAAGAAAAGGGTATCAGCACCCCTCAAAACCCAAAACAAGATGGACTGATCATCGTGAAAAAGCACAAAGCTCATCTTTGGCCAACTCTCGCTTCCCGCTTTCACCGACCACCACCCAACAGCGCGTTGGCATCCCAGAGAAGAACCCTCTCATCCCAGCCGACGGTAGCCACCCACCCGCCAACACCAAACAGACACCAGTCGACACCGACAACGAACTCGGTATGCCTGTTCATAACCCCAACCTGCGCACCAATCTGCGCCCCGCCCGCAGGTCCACCAGCAGGCGGCGCATTCGACCGATCGTCCCACAACCGCACCGTCATATCATAACTCGCCGTCAACAGCAAATCGCTCGCGTGCGGGCTCCACGCCAGCCTGCGAACGGCGTACTCGTGGCCCTGCATGACGGCCACCGGTCCCGCCGTCGGGTTCCGAATGTCAAAGGTGCGCACGGCGCGGTCGACGCCGCCCGTGGCGATGACGGTGTCGCGGTACTTGTTCCAGTCGTGGGTGAGGACTTCTCCCGGGGCGGCGGAGGGGAAGGATGGGCCCGCGGCGTGGACGGGGATCATGGAGGTTAGGTGGTAGCGGGAGGATACCGGGGTGCGGAGGTCAAAGATGCGGATTTGAGAGTCGGAGGAGACGGAGGAGATGATGTGCGGGTTGGAGGGCTGGAAGGAGGCTGAGTAGGTGCAGTTTCCTACGGGGAGGGTGCGGAGGGAGTGGTCGCGGGTTGGGGACCACTGTAGCAGGTTGGTCAGTATATGATGGTCTCTCTTTTGGTGGGTTGGTGTTGTCCAAACATACCACTTTGATCGTGCCGTCCCACGAGCTCGAGACGAAGGTGTCCTTCGTGATGGGGCTCCAGTTGACGGAAAAGGTCTCGCGCTTGTGTTCGTGAAAGTTCATGACGGGGAAGTCCTTCACGCCGAGGTCGAAGAGCTTGATGGAGCCATCGCCGCAGGCAACGACGAGCTGGTTCTCGTTGATCTCGGACCAGGCGAGGTCATATTGCGAGTCGTTTGTGTCGAATCTGTTTTTGTCATGGGTTGTGTGAGTTACCAACCAAGGAGGGGGCAAAGATGCAGAAGGCGGGGGGGGGGGGGTAGACTCACGTCGTCTCGACTTCGATGCCTCGCGCCGTCAGCCCGAGGCAGAAGACGCGGCCGTTGCCGACGATGCCAAAGTTGGCCGACGATGCGACGGCGATGCGCGAGTCGTAGTAGGGCGAGTACTTTACGGCGTAGGGGTTGTAGCCCTGCGTGCGGAATTCGAGCATTGGGGCCATGGCGGGCGACGTTCACGCAAACGCAATGCGCGATGCGATGGGCCCGTGGTTTCTCTTTTCTTTGGAGTCCGTCGCTGGTCGAGAGCGAGGGAAAAGTAAGGTTTAGTGGTTGGCACAGGTAAAGGAAGGTGCTAAGGTACCGCTACAAACGCACACAGGAAAAGCATATGACGGCGGGACGGGATAGCTCTGGCCGGTCGACGGTTACATCACCGCGCCCGATCCGGGGTACCTCGGCAGACTGGGGGGGGGGGGGGGAAGCACCTAGGGCCAGGCGGGTTTGCGGGCAACGCCTCCAGTGGGCAGTGGGTGGTGTGGATGGCGGGGCAGAAGATGCAGCAAAGTTGGAGATGCGATTATCGGGGGCAGCATTTCCAAGGTGGGGGGAGTAGCACGTGCTTTCGCGCTACACACGCGCCTGCTCAGTACGCCCTTTGCAATGACACCTGCTAGAAACATGGGGTCCGGACCAGTGGGGTGCTTTTACTTCAGTCTTGGACTCGGATGATTCCCTTTCCAAAAACTTGAACGAGATCGGTGGGCATTTCCATCTCTCTTCATGACTTACATCGAGGTCGGTCTTTCGTGTCGTCCTCGACTATCTACGTCATGGACTCGTTTCTTATCAGGAAGAAACGGAAACTCACTGAAGAGGTGAAGCCCACGGAGGATGATGAACCGACCGAGGTGAAACTGGCTATCCTTTCATCTCTTCATCCAAATTTGGAGCAAGATGTACTGTTGGACGTGCTCTTAGCACACAATGGCTCTGTCACGGAATCGCTCGAGGCTCTCAAGGCGCAAATCCCGATCAAAAAGTCGAATGGAGTCAACGGTGCCCAGAGTTCCCTCCGGCACTTTGGTGTTAGGTCGGAAGATAGCAGCAACGGTCCGCAGCCAAAGAAGAAACTCATGTCCAAGAAGGGGGCCACGCTTCACCTGTACGATCCTGTCGACATTGCTGAACACACGCCGTGCACCGTCATCCACAACTTCCTTCCGCCAGAGGAAGCCAACGACCTCTTGCGAGAGCTCATGACGGAGGCAAAGTCTTTTGAGAAGAATGTTACCTTCAAACTATTCGACAACGTCGTGGCTAGTCCGCACACGTCGAGCTTCTACGTCGAAAGCTACGACGAGATTCAAACGCAGAAGACGGACTACCTCTACAACGGTGCCAAGCTGAGTGACATTCGCCGCATCACACCGCAGCTCATCAAGGTCAAACCGAAAGTCGCAGAGGCTGTGAATGAAGAGATTCAGACGAGAATTAAGACCCGCTACCCCGAGGGGAAGAAGCTTCGGTACCAGTCGCCTAACCCTTGGGCACCCAACATGGCCTTTGTGAACTGCTACGATGGGCCCCAGGAGAACGTTGGGTGGCACAGCGACCAGCTGACCTATCTCGGACCTCGCGCCGTCATCGGGTCGGTATCACTGGGCGTCGCGCGGGAGTTCCGCGTGCGAAGGATCATCCCCAAGGACGGCGGCGGCGAGAATGGAAATAGCACGACGATGACGGCCGAGGACGCCGACGCAGAGGGCCAGATCTCGATTCACCTCCCGCACAACTCCCTTCTCGTGATGCACGCCGAGATGCAAGAGGAGTGGAAGCACAGCATCGCGCCGGCGCAGGCTATCGACCCGCATCCCGTCGCCGGCAACAAGCGCATTAACATCACCTACCGCGATTATAGAGTCGACATGCACCCGCGACACACGCCAAAATGCGACTGCGGGATCCCATGTGTGTTAAGGGTCGTGCAGAGGAAGAAGGAGAACCATGGGAGGTACTTTTGGATGTGTCACGGGGGCAACGTGCCCGGCAAGGACAGTTGCTCGTTTTTCCAGTGGGCCAAGTTTGACGACGATGGAGCTCCTATATGGACCCATACGACCCGAAAGCTCAATTCTTGATTTCTTTTCAACGCCTCATCCTGATCGACTACGAAACAACCTCGACATCAAATGCCGCATCAGATATCACCGGTACACGCTGCTGTGTCCCTCAGGGGTTCACGTATCCAGGCTGATGCTCACCCTTGCCATCGATCTGGATAATCTTCAGACTCTTCACATCCACCCCGTCGAGAACCCGCGCGTTGACGGGATGCCTCGTCTTCGACTTCTCGTACCAGTACTGCGCCAGCTCCACCAGATTACTCTGCTCCTCCTCGCTCAGCGGGTTGAACTGGTTGGTGATCGGGACGCCGCAGTTCTTGCAAAACGTCTTTGCGAGAATGTGGTGTCCAAAGATGTAGCGGCCAATCTTGTCGTCGTCTCCCGTCAGCACGACTTGGTCGCTATTGGGGTACACCCAGACGTATCCATTCTGTTCAAGAAAGTTAGCACAACAATTTCCTTCCCCGATGCCGGCATTAGCAGGGCGGTGTTTGCTGACCCTTTCGCAGATGCTGCAGTTGCACTCGATGACTTCGTTTTCGTACGTCTCATCAATGGGCTTACTGACGACAGCCACCGTCAGAGCGCCGCAGTGGCAGCTGCCGGTGTAAACTTTGCCCCCCTCGACCTCGGCCGTCGGCCTGGGACCGTTGTGGGTGTGAGGCTCGTAGTTGGCGCCGTAAGACGCGCCGTCGTAACTGCAAAGGCCGGGTCAGCATTTTCGATCTGTGTAATTTGATGAACGACTTTTTGTGAGATTTGGGGTTGCATACGTCTTCTTCTCCAGTCCCCAAATATCGAGGTCTTGGATCGAGCGCACCTGCATAAATGTCAGCCCTAGTGCTTCTTCCCCCTCGGACAGATCTTGAGACGGCGCAGCAAGATTGCGAGATACTCACGTTTAGAACGATTCCGTTGGGGGAATCCGCCAGGATGGGCGTAGCACAGTTTCCGCAGAACTTTGAGGCCAAAGGTCGTCAGCATTACCGGACACCGACAGACCACAATTTCAAACTCATTGCAGAGAATCTTGTTCGTTTCCGCGTGTTCAGATCCCCGGGGCTCACCTTGTGCGTGATCTGGCCGGGACCAAAGTTGTACGTCGAGAGGTCATCCTCGGCGCCTTTGACGAAGCGTAGGTCGTCGCGTTGGGGGATGACCCAGAGGGTACCCTTCCTGGAACAGAGGCTGCAATTGCAGGCGCTGGCGGACTTGATCTCTGGGAGCTGGACCTCGTAGACGAAGGTCTTGCAGTGGCAGTTGCCGCGGTAGGTCTGCTTTGGCTCTTCGGCGGTGGTGGTCATGTTGGAAGATGGAAATGGTATTGATAACTTGTGTTGTGAGGAGGCTGTAGAATGTTTGTTGTGAGGGTGGAATGAATGAATTGGCATGAGATCACAAAGTCAAAAGAGACTATTTGCGCGGTTCTTTATAGATTCGATCTAAGAGCTTTTCATACCTCATAAACCTCACCGGGACGAAGCGAAGCTGACAAGTTGAGGGGGAACATCTATCCCTAGTGGGCGCCACAATTTGTTGAGACAAGCAAGTGGACTCAATCGTAACTTGGAACCAGGATACGTTCCTACAGGACAGGAGATGTAGAGACAGCGATTTTCGGGCGTGTCCATCGTCCACGAAACGGACAAGTCTATCGTCCGGACACAGGCTTTCGGCGCAAATAACTTTTGTCGCTTATGTTATCTTACTTTGCTGGTTGACGATCCCAAGAATTTGAGTCACCGACAGGACATGACCCCGGGGGGACCGTGAATATTGCTGACGGCAGGAACATGGTGTAACACGCGCGGGGTTCCTCGTCTCTGCAAAGTATCGTCCGTGAACGCCAAAGCTAGCAAGAGCTAGAATCTTACGAGGTAAGGGTGTAAGAAACTCTAGGGCCAAGCCACATACGACGCCTCTGCGCGCGATTGACTGGGGGAAACGCCAGATTACCACGTTGTCAGGTGACTTTGTACGCTTCATTTCCCTGGGGACCCTTAGTGTTTGCATTGGAGCAGTTTATACCCCGCACTAAAGAGGCGTTTCATACATCAAAGTCTGGCTAGATTACCAATTGCCTATTGCTTCGTGGAGGTTTCTCTTGTGGCTTGATGTGAGACATTCACGATATGCAAAGAGAGAGAGTTTGTGTATCAATTGTGCATCGTGCCTGCATCTTGACTACCGACATCTTCACGGCGTGTCCTTTCGTTGTGGCGCCGAGTCATCTTATTATCTTACAGCTGGGCATGCAAAACTCGGTTCAGCTGAGAATGAGATGAGACCTTTTTGGGAAGAGTGAGGTGAGGCTGGCGGGTAAGCGAAGCGTGAGTTGAGTAGACAGGCTGGAAGTAGGCAGCAGGCAGCAAGGAGTCTACGTCATACCCTGTTACTTTTCTTCAAGTGTACCTATCAAACTCAAGAGACGTGTTTGTTGGGGTGAAAGAATATTGATGGCCCATAGGTGCCTCAGTTGTTGAAGTTTCGTCGACGTGGGACTCTGTTGTGGCAAGCGAGAGCTGGGTCATTCGGAGTTGGTGATCTGGCATGTTGGGGGTGAAGAAAACGACGAACGAGAGGAAACGAACATTGGATGTAAGAGGCTTGGAAAGATTGTTGAGATGAAAGCGCCCACTTATCGGGAGGGTTTATGTCATCCTTCCGTCCGTCCGAACGGGACTTTAGGTGCCGTTACTGGGGCTCGGTGGGGAAGGGCGCCGTCGGCGTCGGAGGGATTTCGCAGAGAAAACAGAAGCTATTTCGACGTGTAGAAAGAGACGTGCATCCTTTTGTTTTCCTGTCTGCATCGAACACCGGATTCCGACACGTGATAGAGAGGTTTCGCTTCAAGCTCTGCATCCAGTTTGCCCATCGGACTTTAGCGGATGTTCAATGTCAGCGGGTCGAGTGTCATTAACTGCGGAGCGGAGGGTTCGCCCGACTTATACCCATCACCGATGACCGTCGGCCGATACAATGTCCGCGTGTGATTGTGACGAAATTACCCAGGTAAGTACTCAGTGGTATCGGCTATATCAACGGTAAAAAGGACCGAATGGTATCTTTTCTGTAACTTCTGGATGCTCCGATTTCGATCAATTCTTCGCGGCTTTATTCTACGTCTATCTAATGTAGTGCTCTGGCAGTAACTCATTAGTTTACGTCCAGAATCCCTTTAGTTTTCCTTCCGTCTGACGTAGATGGATAATGGAAACACGCGAAAGGCGCCATAATTACTCTCCATGCCTACTCTGTACATTATGTTCTTTCAATCTAACATGGAACGGTTTATAATCGCTTAATCAGTTACGCAGCAATATCTCCGTCCAATCGGCGGGATGCAAAAAACGGTCGCCAAGATCTGGGCACCAGGTCGAGTGCTCCCCAATTATCCCAAGTTCGTCTCATTTAAGGTAAGGAGATTTTCCCCCTCTCCATATAGAGAAATTTCGAATCACACCTCGCAAGCCCTGCACGCCAGGGATCAGCCGTCACTTATTAAGCTTACAGGTCCGAACCGGCTCCCGTAAACTCCGGGGCACCCGTTCCGCGGATGACAACCTTAATGCAACGGCTATTGTTCAAGGCCCCCATTCTAAAGTCTTGGAGACTTTGCCTCTTTTCCCCCCTGGAAGTCATCGAGCTGTCTTCCCCCTCTTCTCGATTTTATCCATCCCCCAGTCATCGCAGTCAAAGATGAAGCACCGTGTTGCTTCAACCGCGCGCCCCCCTTTCCACATTCCATTCATCCCGCAGGTGCCGCCAAGATTTGATCAACATCAGCAGGTTGCATTTCCAAGGAGGACGGCCGCCGATTCGTTCAAACGTCTTTTCTGAGACCTTTTCAACCTTGTTTCTCGTCATACCTGTATAAAGTGGAAACTCGCCTCTCCCTTTCAAGCTTCTATGCATTCATCCCAAGCTCCGTAGATTGCCCAAACCAACATTGCACAGGTCTTGGAATCAACTAAGGTTACCTTCCTTTTATAATTACCCCCCAGTCTCCTCCACCTTTTCATCTCTTGGGACCTGCTCTGATGGGAAGTCACCCGCCGGCAGTTTGTTGCATCGCGTACTACGTGATTTGGCTTGGCGGCGCAGGAAAGGGAGTCCTAGGACCTTCGCAACAAATGTAGCTTAAGCCAAAGTGACAAAGGTTGATCCCATCACATCCTCGGTCTTCGGCTACGTGCATGGGATAGATGGTCCCAGGGGAAGTATAGATCTACCTTCCGTTGTAGTTGCAGGGTGATCCTGTCTAGTGTAAAGGAATGTTCTCCGTAGTCTATGCAATACACGACGGTCTGCCGGCACTTTGCTTTGAACGAACATGCCGCGGAATACAGGGAGGACGGATGGTGGCCAAGATCTACAACATTGTCATTCCCCCGCTCCCGGTCTGCCAGGATCCAGGGAAGAGAGTCAGTGTGATGATCCAGGTCTAGTATTAACGATCTGTAAGGCAGTTGGGCAGGCGAGTTCGGATGGAAACCGCTTCCGCGCTGCTGCCCCTACCATGAATTTTTCGTGTTAATGATGTAGAAAGCTGGTCCTTGCCTTCTTGGCCCCCCAGTTTTCGTCTTAAAGAGCGGGAAGGACGTCGATTTCCCTTCCTTAGTTCTGGCTCCGCTTGCTGTTCTCGTCTCTAGGCTCTACCTTATCCATACTCCTCACCTCCAGTCTGTGGATTGAAGTCTCGAGGCGTGCTCCTCGTCTTGCTTTCCAGAACATCGCAGTTGGCCTCCGTCAGGTTGTCGTTCTGCGACGATCAGCTAGCACGTAGCCCTCCCTAGTGAATACTCGCGGCTGCTCTCGCCACGAATCGATACAATGGCACCCATCACATCCCTCGCAGCGTTTGCTGCCGCGGGCGCAGCTCTGTTCTCGACAGTCGCCGCTCAATGCGCGAACCTCACTCCCGTCGCGCAACCCCAGCTGGCCGCGGGATACAGCTCCAAGCTCATCCTTAACGGGCTGTCAAGGCCCCGCAGTCTGCAGTTTGACACTCTGGGCAACCTGCTCATCGCCGAGCAAGGAGGCACGGGTGTCAAGTACGTCAAGCTCACAGACAACGGCGGAGTAAACGTCTGCGTGGCTTCTCAGAAGACCCTCATATCCAACACGAATGTAGGAAGCCGAGCCATCCCGTCTGCCTCTTCATGACCAACGCAGCAACTGACCTGTCCTTGTCTAGCTCGCTCATGGCTTGGCCCTGTCTGCCGACGGCAAGACCATCTATGCGGCAACGGCGTCCGAAGTGTTCGCGTACCCTTACGACGCTGCTGCCGGCACTGTTGGACAGGCGAGGTCCATCATCAACGGCATGACGCAGACTGGCCACCAGAGCCGCACGTTGCTGATCCCTAAAGATAAGCCGAACGTCTTGCTAGTTTCCCGCGGCTCCGCTCCGAACCTTGACCTTCCAACCGCCGAGGCTTCATCCGGCCGCAGTCAAATTCGTGCCTTTGATCTCACGAAATTGACGGGCAGCGCTGTGGACTACACGACGGGAGAACTCTTTGGGTGGGGACTGCGAAACAGTGTTGGTGTTGGAGAGAACCCCCTGGACGGAGGCATTGTAAGTGCCTGGTGCATACTCGCAGAGCCTTCAGTCAGCTAATGTTATTTCAGTGGTCTGTCGAGAACTCTCTGGACAACATGGACCGCAAAGGAGTGGACATTCACAACGACAACCCTGGCGAGGAACTCAACTACCACGGCAGCTACAGAGCTGCGTCGAACCCACAGAAGGGTGCAAACTATGGCTACCCCAACTGCTTCGCCGTCTGGGAGACCAGCACCGTCACGGGCGTACCCAACGTGAAGGTGGGAAGCCAGGTTATCCAGGGAAACGCCACTGGCAGCGTCACAGACCAGTACTGCCAGACTGTTCCCACACCACCGCGGCTCACTTTCCAGGCTCACATGGCGCCGCTGGATATCAAGTTCTCCCCCAATGGATCATCCGCCTACATTTCCTTCCACGGCAGCTGGTGAGTGCTTCCGGATTGTGGACGTGATGCAACAAACGTTAACGATGTTTACAGGAACCGCTCTCCCGGCGACGGCTACCGTCTCAGCAAAGTCGACTTTGGTGCCAACGGACAGCCGCTTGCTGCGTCTACCAGCAAGACGGCCGAGGTTAGAGTTGCGTGGAACGTCAACAACGCTGTTTGCCCCGGAAGCTGCTTCCGGCCTGTTGGCCTTGCGTTTGACAAGAAGGGCAGGTTGTTTATGCTTAGCGACTCTACTGGCGAGCTTTTCGTTCTTACGGTGCCTGCTTAGAGTTCGGGCAAGCCGTGCCACCGTCATAGTTGAGAACGGTAAAGAATGGTTTCATGGCCGGAATTGAGTGAGCTCTTTGCGAAGAGATGGGCGGATTGGAAGGGGATTTCTTGCACATAGTTATCTTAGCCAGCCTGGCAATGACGATATTCTGACAAAGCATTCGGAGTGAGACGCTGATTGACAAGGGAAACGCTGCGTGTCAAACGAGTCAAACGAAACATTTCCTCTCAAGTCGTAATGAGGTTCCCCAAGACACAGGCAAGCGGGGAAGTTGGCTGTTGAACTTAATAGTGGTTGCTGAGCAGCAACGCAGAGCTCGACCCCTGCCTCGGCCCGGGCTTTCAGTGGACCAAACGGGGGGTTTCCCACAGTCCAATAGGCGCGCTGAGCTATCCCGTTTTGCACCCAGTTGGGAAAGGCGCCTTTTGTGGCACCCACGCCAGAATCCGTGTTTCCCGCGATGATGTGCGCCAGGCAGGCACGACAGGCACAAGTGGAAGCCTTTACTTCACTTGTCAGTATAGTGTGTACCTTAGGTACTTGGGTTACAGGCAGGCGCAAACTGCGGGTGGTGTCGCGCAGACGCAACTAATGGCGCAGCGCTCCAATCACACATCGCATGCCCGCCCTTCAGTCTCACCCGTCCCGTCCCTCCGCGACTTCCATCCATCCATCCATTCTCTTCCATGAATCCCATCCATCCCTCCCTCGTCTCCCGCCTACTTCTCTCACCCAACAGCCTTGCTAAGCAATCCGCTTCCCGCATTCTTTCCTGATGGGACTGAACCATCGCCTCAGACATTAAATTTGCCATTTCTCGGCCCGTCATTTTCGTGGACTGATCCACGGATTAGAGCGACATTCTTCTTGTCGCCATCGACTCGGCGCCCCTCGGCCAAGCACTCGGAATCTGTCTCAGGCTTTGCGACGCTGCAACGTCGGAGCCAAAGCCGTTCAACCCAAAGACCGCCGACGCGCGCGCTCGCTGTTCGGCACAACCTTGGGCTACTAGCCTGAATCCTTTCGTTTTCCAACGTCTTCGCGTGCATTCCCATCGCCACTTGGCCGCATCATCCGACAAACATTTGCGACAACTCTCACGAGCCGTGCAGACAGCCCTACGAACAAACGACCGATCCGATCCACCGTCACTGCGTACCTGCAGGCGACTTTTGCCCTACGACTGCGCGCGAGTCTAACCGTCGCGCCACGGACCATACGCCATCAAGAAATCACGCCTCATCCCAAGCTTTTCTGACATAAGGCGCTCGCGCGCGCGAGAGAGAGAGAACGATGCCCCTCCTTCCTCGCCAAACCACCACGAACGGCGTCGTCGTCGTTCCCGCCACGTACGGCGGCTGGTCGAGCCTCGGCGCCGGTGCGATTGTGGGTATTACCCTCGGCGCCGTCGCAGGGTTTCTGCTCGTGTTGTGGATGGTCTACACCTGCCTCAACTTTGGCCGGCCGGTAGAGGCCTCGTCGTCGTCGGTATACACGGGTACCGCGTCGGTCGTCTCGGTGCGGCGGCAGCGGTCAAAGAGCCGGCATCGCCACCGTAAGCATCGCAGTCCGCGGGCGAGGGTGATTGCGACGGAGGAGGTGAGGGTTAGGGAGAGCGTGAGCAGGCCGCCGGCACCGGGCGGTCCGATTATTGTTGAGGCAGCGCCGCCGCCGCCGATGCAAGAGCGGAGACATAGTCGAGCTCCGCCGCCGAGGATCGTGACGGATGATGAGGAAGACGAGGTTGTGGTGATTGAGGAGCATTCGCCGTCGGATAGAAGGAGACGGCGCCATAGTAGCTCGCGGCGGCACAGTCACCGGGGAGAGAGCCGGCGTGGGAGCCGGGACTACTGAGGTGTTGGCCTAGTTACCTATCCAACGTACAAAATCGCGTTGTTCTTTTTTTCTTCCTTTTTCCTTTCTAGCGACTGGACTTTTGTTGGGACCTTGTTTGTAATAGATTCTGCTACGGTGCTGTGAGTGCGGCATATTCACGTGAGCGATGAGCGATGTTGTACGAACCTTTTTTGTCGATATGGATGGATGGATGATATGCTAGGGCGATTGTACGTCAGACATGGATGGGCACATGGATACCGGGCATACCGATCGGAGCGGGAAGGGAATGACTAGGAAAGATGGGGGAAGTGTCAGATGGAAGATCAAAGTGTGGGGTGACTCCGGACAGCAGGATGGTGCCGAAGGACGTGTTCGGTTTCGATACATTACCATACGCTGGGAGGGGATCTTGGATGATCTTGAATTACTTCCCGAATACGGCGGATTAAGGTGATCCCATGATCGGGTTATCGCGCCAATGGATGGGCAATTGTGGTGCTGGTGCTGCCTCGGTAGCCGGTGCGCGATGTGAGGAGGCTGCTATATTCCGGGCGTCGTCACATTCTGTCTTGCACACATGAGACCGGACATCTGAAGGAAATAGCGGGGGATTCGAGGTTGTTTTTTGAGTGATGAGGTGGAAAGGCGATTGATACCAAGGCACGGATATATAATTTGGACTACTTATTCTTTCCATTTCATCTGATTGCTCCTACTTACTGAAGCCATTGACGAAATGCCAAGGCCAAAGCCGTCAGTTTACTGATCACTGAAATATCGCACCTAAGAGTTATTGCCGGTTGCTTGCAGCCGTAGCATCGTCGTTCTTGGGAACCTGCAGCCAGGGTAAGGTACTGCAAGGTGTAAGTACTAAAGATCGACGATGATCTGAGCAATAGCTAGGTGGATGCCAGGTACCTTGCTTGTAAGCTCTTCCCCGTCAAGTCAAGCTAAGGTACTACAGTAAGTAAATAATGCACTGGTAAGTGCTGTCCATGGGATTGGCCAATGACGGCAGCAGGAGCCGCATTTCACATGCTTTCCCCGGACTTGTGTGGAGGGTACGCCATGCTCCCAAATAGTTTCAGAATGACATCACCCTGCGAGCTTCGGCTTCCCGGACGTGGGTAAGAGCGCCACAACTTCCCACACCTCAGGTACGAGATAGGTATCCAATTCTTCACGAGACAAATCAAACGATCGGGCACAGGCACGTTCCTAATCCGGCAATTGCGGACCAGACTTGCTCTCCAATTCCGATTCTGCCACCTTCGACGCCAGGTACTGTACCCAAGGTACCTCTCACCACCTCACCTCTAGGAGCTCTAGGCGTTTGGCTTGTGAGACATCATAGCTCCCATCTCCATCCTTCCCGCGGCCGACATATAGCTCCGAGTGCCTAGCTCAGGCGCCCTCTCCCTCCCTTTTAACGTTTGACCTTTCCCTCCCCTTTTCCATCGTCTCTGTGCGTTTCCCTGTGACGTTGATCTTTTCCCACCCAAAACTCGAACGGCTGTGTTCTTCTCGAACACAGGATAAGAGCACCTCCCGCTCTTCCCACGCAAACATTACGAACCGGATTCCACTTGAGCATCGGTGAACTCAACAAGACCAATCGATCCGTTCAGAAGCTTGAAGTAGACACTCTACGACTTTTGAGCTCCACACGGCAAATAATAATACGTTTTTCTCGACTTGACGCTGACACGAGCGCAAGATGGATCATCCAGGTACGCAGACGTCACCCATACACATAACACTCCCGAGAAGACGGCAACGCCTCGCTGCCAACACCTGTATCAACCCCAGCTGCAGATCACGGCCCAGGATGCCATCCCCCAAGCCTGCAACCCAACAGCTATGAACTTTTCAGTCTTGAGCCGTTGAGCCATGTTCCCTTCCTTGTTTCTGCACGGCCTCCCATATTAGCTAGACAAATCGAAAGTGTCCCCCTTACTGACAAACACCCGACTATAGTCAAGGAGATCAAGACCGTCATCCGGGACCTGGTCCAGGGATCCCCAGAGAAGCAGCAGAATGCCCTCTATTCCAACTTCACCGAGGACGCCTCCTTCACCCACCCATTCTGCCATGTACCGTCCTTTGGCAACATCCAGATCCCGTTCCTCTTCACCATCAACTCGCGTTGGTTGGTCCTCATGATTTACCGCTGGTACCGCATCTTGAGCCCCAATATTGAAATGGAGATTGAGTCTTCTGGTATGTTCTATGCCTGGCCAGCTATCTCTCAGCAGAGAAGCTGTACTGGGGAGCCTTTTTACAAGAGAGATAAGACATGCTAACCCCCTTACAGTCCAAGACCAAAAAACAAACTTGCTCTACGTCAAGATGCGCCAAGACTTCCGCCTATGGTTCGTTCCCTTCTACTCGGCACCCGTCGACTTCGTCGTTGTCCTCCGCCTAGAGACCCGCACAATCGACGCCAACGGCAACCCGTTGCCTCGCGGCTACGGTGACGACGCCTCCGTCGGCACCCGCCAGCGCCAGTTCATCGTCAGCCAGGAGGATCACTACCAGGTCGGCGAGTGGCTCAAGTTCATCGCTCCCTTCTTCGGGTACTGGGCCTGGCACGCCTGGACCCTCTTGGCAACTGCGATGTGCGTTGTCGGCGCCTTCTTTGGATATCCTCTCACCTTGCTCTTTGGACAGATGGCTCGGCCCAACAGTAACGGTAACGGGCAGGAGAGTAAGCGGGAGTAGGATGACGCAGTCGATACTCTGTTTATCTTTTTTGGGGACCTTGAGGATAACCTAGCAGGAGTGGCTGATGAGGTGTCAGAAGAGTCTGGGTGTTGGCTGTGCGAGGGTTGAGCCATCTTTGAAGTATGGATAATCAAGCTGGCATGGTGTTGGGTTTGTAACATTAGTAAAGACTTGCCGGTACGGAATCGTGTACGTTTCACAACCCCTGTTAGGGTATTGGACTTTTGAGCTACGCAGCTATAAGTTTGACTTGATTGTACTTGTTGTGCACATCAGCCCATGTAAAAGTAACAAAATTCATCGTCGGCCAGTCCAGCCAATGTAGAAAGCTGAGCTGTAGTGAAGTAGCTCCCCAGGGGAGCTCCCACTCCGACCCGCCTCATCCCATCCGACTATAGCACGACCCACCAGCACCTGCACTCTCTCCTTACCTCGTCGTCCCCTTCCCACCGCCTTCCTCCCTTCCTCGAACTCCCAAAGTTACCTACCTAGGGGATCTAATCCCCTTTCTCGTCACCGGCACAGCAGCACCCGTTCACGTCGGCGAGGTCAGGTCAAGCTGTGTGCGAGGTAGTCGGGTTGGTTAAAAAAAAAAAAAAAACGAATACTCCAATGAACTCTGAGGGGCGCGTTGTTCCATTTCGGGCAGTGGCGTGGAGTTCTGGTCGAGTTTATTCCCCGTCCTTTCCTTTCCTTTTTTGGTTTTGCCTGAAAAGTAGTTCATGTATAATGGCGGTGAGAGGTTTCTGATTCGACTTTGGTCTTGCGTTGCTCGGTAAGGTACTGACGCTTTCTCGAATGTCACGACACGATCAATCTGGCGATGAGAGAGAAGGAGGCGAATCCAATATCCATTTCCTCACTTAGTCCAATAAGGGGATAACTAAGTAGAAGAACTGACGAGTCTCGCCGGCTCTCCTCCCTTCACGCTCACTACTTCACATCTAACCCCCCCTTCCCTTCCACTCAACTCGCTTTTCTGGGTATACCAAATCAGACTGCAAGCAACAGATTTTCCTTGCGCCCACGGAACCAGCCTCCCTCCCCCATTTTCCGTCTCAACACGAAACCACTCTCGCCGTTCATTTTTGAGTATGTCCATCCACGCAATATACATCTGACCGCACCGAGTTTTCCTTTTTGTGTTGTGAGTTGAACAAGATCTGATGCCCTCCTTTTGCCAATCCGGTTCGTAAATAGTAAAAAAATAAAAAAAGGTCTTGCCTGCCATCCCTGCTTTTTCTGATCCGTTTTCGGGCTGTGTCCGTATCTTTCGTACGGGCATGGTTCGTCACATTATAATATACTGTAAGTCATGAAGCCCGGCTGGCGTCTTCCTCTCTCATACAGAGAGGATATGGCGTGTCCGGCACGGAGGCGTCAACTGGGATTTCTCCCAGAGGCCGCCGGCGTCGTGACCTATACACACACACGCCAGCCCTTCCATTTTTGGCGTTTCCCAGCCGTTTTCATTTTGTGTTGGTATCATCATAAGGGCTAGTAATGCATTTCTAGCACGGAGGCGTCATCGTGGAACAATCTCTTTCCAAGAGGCCGCCGGCGTCGTGCCATTTTCTCTTTTCTCTTTCTTTCGTTTTTGGCTTGTCTCATCCTCTTCACATCCCGTTTCGCCCATTAGCGTTGCCGTTTGGACCCTGCTGCTGATCCGGGGACTGTTGCTGTTGCTGTTGCTGCGCCTGTGACTGCTGCTGTCCTCCAAAGAAGAAGCCGTCGAAAATATTCATCTGCTGGCCTTCGCTGAAGTCGTGGTGCATGTTATCCCAGTTGATGCCGAATCCCAGGTCAAGCTGCGGCGTCGTCACATCCCCGGACCCAGCGAGCTCGCCGTTGGGGTTACCACCCTGCAAACTCTGGAAGAAATCCATGGTTTGGATGTCTGGGTAGTCGGCTACGCCATACGATGACGACCCTTGCTGCTGCTGCTGCTGATTCAAAAAGGATCCGCCGCTACTGGTTCGCTGAGTCGCCACACGACGAGGCACTGGCGGCGAGGCCACGAAAGAAGGGTCGATTTCCGAGGGGCTGCCCTGGCTGGGGGCCATCATATTGAAGTCCGTTGCGCGCGGAGAATGGCGTGGTGGGAGGTCACCGGCAACAGAGAGGCTTGGCGACGAGAGGGTATCGGACAGCGCCATGTCCATCTGGAAGTTGCCCTGGCCCGACGACTGGTGTTGCTGGTGGCGGCGGCGAGGTGCGACGCTCGCAGTCGACGTCGATGCCCCGTCGCCTGAGGCGGAGCTCCACTCGAATTGTCTCTCACGCATCTTGCGTGGGGGCACCGAGTTGAAGCCCCCGGTCGAGTTGGCCATCTTGATGGTGGCCTTTGCGGTGCGGTCAAAGGCGTCGCGGCAGGTCTCAGCCGGTGGACACTTGTCGATCAGGTCGGTGAAGACAGACTTGGCCGCCAGGATAGTGAAGTCGACTTCGTCCATTGTCTGTATCATTACGGATTAGAGCTATTTCGATTGATTTCAAAATCAGAGAAATCGACTTACCAGTCGGCTTCTGACAATAGGCGAGTGCCAGATGGCGTAGAGGTAGGATATGCCAGCCATGAAAAGATGATGAGTTGACAGATACGTATAGCTGACCAGCCCGCTCAAGTGCAGCTGACGGTAGATACGAAGAATCTTTTGCCCGGCTTCGGCGACCTTGAGATAGATCCTGTCCTCGTCCTCCCGTAGCTCCGCCTGGAACGCTGTCGGGCTGTTCACTTCGGTGGAGGTGTTGTACTCGCCCTCGAACATGGCGGGCACGCTCAGGCTCTGGCGGTAGAGCATGATGATGGCCTGCCAGTAGTTGAGCTCCAGGAATTCGGTCGAAAACGCCACACCCGTCTCTTCCCGCGTCGGCGCTGAGTTCTTCCACTGGTACAACCTGCGGTCGATGTCGATGCGCCACGAGCGGAAGGAGTCGAACTTGACGAGAAACGGCGACGGCAGGTGAGTGTGCATGTCCGAGTTGGTCAGGTTCTGGCCCGAGGCCCGCACGACTTGTGTCTGGTTATATTGCAGCACTTGGAGGATCTCGGATTGCAACAATCGCAGCTTGAAGTAATGGTAAGCTACGTGCTTGTAGCTCGGTTCGGATGAGTCGGCAGGCATCTCCAAGAATCCAGTCGATGCGATGTACTGATCATCCAAGAGCGAAGGAAATTCGGTCGTGATGACCTGGTCGCTGATGCCGAATGGTCGTCCGACGCAGGTGCTCACTAGTCGATCCAAGGAGTAGGTGCACCACCAAAGCCTCCGCCTCATGTCGCGGATGTAAAGTCGTCGGCCCCTCTCGCGTGACTGGGCGTTCCTCGCTTCGTTGACTTCGCCGTTCTCATCCTTGATTAGATCCCGCATTGCCGGCTCTACGTCGCTTCCGTCTTCGTAGTGCAAGCCAAGATCCACAGCCAAGCGCACAGCAACGCCGATGATGTACCTGTCAACTTGTCAGCATCACTACTCATAATACGCTCGGCTGGGAGGGGACACAACTCACCATAGACCGGGGGGAACGGGTCGGAGGAGCGCAAAGTTGGCCAACAGCAGCACAGCTTGCAACACCTCCAACCCACCGCCGCTATTACCTAGACAAGCCTCAAGATGCACGATGGCGCTCGCATGGTACTCCTCTGGCTGTGCCTGGCCGAACTTGTTCGTATCCGCTGGATTGCGCGGTCCGGCACCCGAGCCTTCGGATTTCACAGGCTCGCCCACAATCACACCGCATCCGATTGCGAAGACCATATTCAGCATGTATAGCTCCCGAGCTCCCTTTGGCCCACTCGGATCAGCGTACGCCTGGTCGAACATTTGCATAAACTCCCCTCGGTGCAGAATGGGGATCTGAGGATTCGCGTGCTCAAAGTAGAGGGTCACAAGCCTCATTCCCACATCCTTGTCAGGGAAGTTTGCTGGCCGGATCGTGGGTTTCGTGTGCAAACCAAAGAAGGAGTCGCGCATAGATGTCCCGCTGCCGATCGGTAAGCCCTTGCCACCAATCCGATCCTGCGTTCCGTTGTGATCCGACACGGAGTATTGCACAGCGGCGAACACTACGCGGTTGAAGGAGACCCCTGAAGCCGACGCTAGTGATCGTGGTTTCGATGGGCTGACTATATCAAGCATTCCCGTACCACCGCTTTCTGCCTTTTTGGCCTTCTCCAAGTCAGGGCGGTGTATGTTATTCTTCGCTGGCCCAGGTCCATCATTGCTCTCGGAGCGTGCCGAGGGAGCAACCTCAGTCGTCGATCTCGCGATCTCGGCGCCGGGACGTGAGCAGAGCTCCAGGTTCTCGGCTGGTGGGAAAGGTATGTTCTGGTTGGCGAGAAGTGCCTCTAGCTGCTCCACGCGGGTTTCTAGGTAGAATACGTAGCTTTACGACTCACATTATTAGCACGCAGTCAACGATCGAGGTGATAATGCTACTGCGCACACATGCGCGCGCACTAAGCAACTCCAGGCACGGATACGCTACACGGGCAAGTAGTCCATACCTTCTGGGAATTTCCTTCTTCGTGATGGGGTCGTAGCCCACGCACGCAACGCCGGCCTTTGCGCAGCTGGCACAACTGGGAAGCTTCTGGTCGCATCTGTTCTTCCGTAGGCGACAGCGATTGCAGGCGCTCACGTTGCGGAAGTTGCTGCTCTGGCCTGCTTTTCCTCCTCCGCCTCCTCCATTCTTCTCAGCTGAAGTCAGAGCCGCGCCGGCATTGGCCATCGGGTCATTCTGTTCGGCTGCGGACGGGCTCTGGTCGATGCCAGCGGAGGGGGGCGGGGAGACGTCGACATCGTAGGAGCCTTGGCGCGGGCGCTTCGTCGGCTTGAGGGTGGGTGATGGCGGTGAATGAGCCGGCATTGTGTAAGGTGAAGGTCTCTTGATCGGACGGTACTAGTCGGCTTTTCGGAGAGAAGAGACGGGGCGGGGAAGGTTGGGACGAGGATAGGGTTGAGACTGAGTGCCGGAGGCGCGGCTACCGGCCAGTCGGGGTGAGTCGGGGGTGGTTTATAGAGCCGACTCTAGATGATGTAGAGAGGAGGAGAAACGGGTCGTCCTGTAGACTTCTTGGTGAGCGCAGGTCCCTCGGCCAGGACTGGCGAAAGGTGCGGTTGCGAGAGGGAGTAGAAAGAGGGGAGAGTGAAGGTGGGAAATGCTGGACGTCGGTGAGGCATACAAAAGTGTTGGAACCAGGCTGTTATCGCGACGCTATCTTGACTTGCACAGTGACAGCTGCACACATCATTCGGCAGTGGGCACAGACAGTTGGAAGAAGGGACCTCTTGTCTCGTCTACCCAACCCCAGTGGACTAAGGCGGCGCTAGAGGCAAGGGTCGGTTCTAGGCCGGACAGACGACGAAGAAGATGAGGGGGGTTTCTCTGCAACGGGGTGGCGGCGGGCCTAGGAAAGGCAGAGGCAAAGGCGACCGGGACTGTGAAGGTCACGAAGTATATACAGATTGGCAGGCGAGATCCTTCAGCTGGGATCGCTCTGGATGTTGGGAATCTGACCGAGATTCAGGTCAAGACTGCGCATGTCGAGTCGGTCAGAGAACAGGCGGAGAGCGGACGGCGGAAGATGGCGGCGGCGGCGGGATGGTGCATACAAGCGAGAGGGAGAGATAGATAGGCCCAGTAGCTTGTTTGGAGGATGGGAAAAGAGACAAAGTGATTCAACGGCGGTGGGAATTCCCGCACAAGACAAAGGCCAAGCTACCTCGACAACTCGAGCTGGAGCTGTGGGATATGCGCGGTGATAGGTGAGCCGTGAAGAAAGAGGCGGGCGGGCTAACTGCGACGTTATGGGGAGGCGGTCGGTGAAATGACAAGAGCACCCACCCCAAACTGTAGTAAGGTGAGGTAAACAGGACGGATAGGCAGGCGCGGGCAGCTTGATGGACAGAATGCGCTAATCAGAAGGGACCAATCTGCAGCCGGCGATATTGGTTTTCGTTGACCTAAGCACCTGTTTTTTTTTTTCCATCCTCCAGCTGATAAGGAATGGCAGGAAGGAGGGTCCATCGCACTCGGCCGGTTAGTTTGTGGTGCGCCTGCACAGAAAGTGGAGGTCTCTGGAGACAGCTGGAAAGTTGAAGTAGTCAAGCCACAGGTGAGAAGTGACTGCGCAACTTACAGCATTACTCTTCTTCATCATTAACCAACTCCATCTACCTTACCATTCAGCTTGACGGGCCGGACAGAGAGCTTGATAAGTAATCAGCCACAAGAGACTGGATACGATCAACAACCAAATCTCTTATTCATCTTGATCTCTGTCGTGCCCCCACTCTCCCCCCTCAAGCCACCACAACTCCCCAAACGAGAACGAGCGAACAAGACAGCGTACGGTGCCTTACTAAGGAATGCGAATCCTCCCCCTCTGTGAATTTCTCTGGAGTCTGTATGAGTATGTAGACTGGTCCGACTGTCCCCCCCCCCCCCCGGCACGACGACATACACCAAGTACACCAATCATCGAGATCCTGGCCGGCAATGCCTCGTTTGGGAACTCCATCCCGCGCTGCCGCATCGGCCTGAGCCTTTTGGCGCGCCCTCGCTTGGCCATGATGGCCGCCGGGTATCAGTTGACCATACCCTTGGAAACCGAGCTAAAAAAGCCAATTGCTTTGCTCTCATTTGAAACTTGGCATTGGTTCCCTTTTTACGAGGGTCCAATTCACTCTCTTACACACCTGTGTGCGTGTGTGCCTCTTTATCAGAACCAGAACCAGAAGGAGAAGGGGCCCCTTATCTATCCGTCGAATCCGGGACCGTTTACGATTGTGGGAGGGCGCCACACCATTAGAGGGTGCCTTCTTCCTCCGTAGGTATCGGCCGCCACCTCTGACTCTCTGCTAACTTCATCTCTGAATCGTCCTCTTCCCTCCTCCCTATACAATATCGCGGTGTTGTGACGTCGGTAGGATCATTATCCATACCACCTTACTAATCGAGTTTGAAGTCGCCGCCCACTTCACGATGTGCCCGAGATGGCACTCGAAATACGTAATTGCCATCCGTCGTTTTGGATTGACCAAACTTCAATCTCGCCAACCGAAACCCTCGACGTTGTCATCTACCGTTCATTTGCCCCCAAATAGCAATACCGAGGTCCCCTCGGTTCTCAGAGTCTACCGTATCTCACGTATCCACTCCCCAGCGCCAACGCTCCAGCATAGGCTTAGTATAGCTTTGCGAACGGACGGGGATTCTCCAATCCATCACAAGTCACAACCCGTTCGCCGTTATCGATCACTGTAATCTTGGTCCCTCTCTCCTGTCACGAGATCCAATATCCACACAGCATTGTTGGTACCCGTCCAATGAGCGATGCCAACACTGACGACCAACGCGCATGTGAAGACCCCCACAAGTATTTAGCCCAGCTGTCTTACAATCTATCTCACGATGACGGCTTCACAATCGAGCTTCAAGGGAATGGAAACATGACGGTATTCAAGGCATCATCCGCCCAGCGCCAATCTCTGGTTCCGATTTCTTTTCTTCTAATTCCTCTGTCTTCTGGTCCCCTTCCCTCTTACCATCCCGCTGCCACCCCACAAACCCGTTGGGGAGCACCGTACCAAACTGCCTCATCTTTCGGATGAACCAAGGCCGGAAACCTGTAGACAGTAGTACAATAAGGTAGGCGCCTAGGACAAGGTAGTTGTATCATGAGACCGGGATGGGATCCGGGGAACCGCCTTCACATGAACCCTGCGAAATTTCATTTGGAGACCTAACCTTACCCCGGGTTTTTCTTCAAAAGACAAAAAAAAAAAAAGAGTAAAAGAGCAATTACTTGCTTCACACCCCGCGAATGTGTCTCACGCCCGCAAACCGCTCAATCCCATGTACGAGCATGTACGTCACCAATGTTTCGCTTGGCGCTGAACAGAAACCGCCCGAGAGAAAAGACGCCGCGGCCTTCAAACTCACTCATGAGGCATGTCGGGGTACGCAGGTCATTGGGGGTTTGTCAGTCACCACTGGGGTTGTAAGTTGTCACGGTTATCATTACAGTTGTAATCAAAGGTGTTTGTCAAGGAGTTGTTCTCCCATCAATTCTCTAAGAAATAAGCCATCATTAAAACATCAAGAGCAGCTAGACCTTTGCAAGTCTTCACAGGCCCCCACAGAACAAATCGAGTTTCCCGGCAGAGGAGAAAAATTCCCTTCCTTGCCAAAATCCTTCCCGCTCCTCCGCTTCTCTTTCCTCGGGTTGGTTTGGTACGTCCGGTCCTCTGTGGTATTCCCCCCAAAAATGCCATTTGCTTTTTTTCTCTTTGTTGCGCCCTTTGCGGTTTCTCTGTCTTCTGTCTCCCATCTCTTTCCAGTGTCGGCTGTTCCCTTGGGCCTCCATGGTATTTCCAACTCCTTGTCCAATAGAACAATCCGTATACAAAAACAAATGGTCGAGGATCGTCGCCTGACCCGATACATGATGTGATGTTGAGCGCCCCCTAAAGGTTTGATAAAAAGTCGAAACGAACAAGAACTGAAATCCAGTCATGCAGCCCGCTGATGGAAATGGTCGGAATAAAACAAGTAACAAGTCGTGAGATTTCCGTATGTGCTCTCTCCTCGGCCTGTCCGAATTAAATCGTGTGATGGTAATAACTCTTTTCTCTGATTCCTTCCGTCGTGTCCCATGAGCGATAGTCTATGTCTTGTTGTGGTCCCTTCCTGTCGATAATAACGCCGTAGGATGAAAACTCCGATTGTTGAATGATGATAAAAATAAAATAGTGCAAATCCCATGGCGCCTTTCCGGGGTATCGAAATTGGGGGATAAGGTAGTCAACGTATGTGATCATGGTGGTGATCACGATCTCCGGCTGGGGCCGGCCTCAACCTCGTGTTCGTCGTCGTCCAGGGGAACTAGCAGACCCTCAATCTCAGTGGGTTCCACTGCCGTCTCGATATCTCTGACAGGCTCGTCCAAGCGTCCACGGGGCTCGGTAAGATGCATGCTTAGGAAGGCGCCGAAAATGGTAATGGCACCGCTGGTCCACCAAGCAAGTCCGGAGTAGCCGGTTCGAATACCAAGAGTGTAAAGGAAGCCCGAAATGGTCGGCCCGAACGCTCTGCACAAGCTCGCTGTCGAGGCGGCAACGCCGTTAATAGTTCCGAGGGACATGAGGCTCGGTGCCGAGTTTGTGAGCAAAATCGCATTGCTGGGGTAGGCCATGGTCGAGAAGGTGCACTTCCAGATAACCATGATATAGATGCCGATGATTCGCAAGTTCTCAGGCAACAGAGCTAGGTAGGGTGTCGTCAGGTAGAGCAAGAAGTAAGAAATGGCCAATAGTCTGAACAGCCGGAGAGGACCGAGGCGTCTGGTAACCCATGGGAAGATGAAGACTGTCGAGATCATGGAGTAGACACCCTGAACCGCGAGAATGATGCCAATGGACTTGGTCTCCATCGAGAAGCCGCCGGGGAACTTGAAAGGAAGGTGAACGTCCGGGTGCTCGCGAGGCGTGGTGCTGAGGAAGACGGGGAACAGTTGATCAAAGGTCATGGTGTGGCTGGTAGAAGTGTAAGCATGTTGATGAGAGTCTCAAAGTGAAGAGCAATGACTTACAAGGCCAGGATGCCGTAGGAGATGATGTTCAAGATGACAGGTCTGGTAAAGATCACCTTGGGCGGCTCAGCAATTTCATCAATGATTGATGCCTCTGTGAGGTCCAGAGTCTCGGTTGGCTCGGGGATAGTAGACTCGGATCCCACAAGTTGAGGAGAGCTCTCGTTCGTGCGGTAGCCGGGGAGCTCATCATCGTCGAGCAGTGCCTGCTTCTCCGCCTTCCGCGCAGGGATTTGGCAGCTCTTGGCCGACACCCACGAGATGATGCGCTTTCCCAACTCCACACCGGGGTCTCTCCTCTTCTTGCGCTCAGCGTGGGTTTCTTCCAGAAAGAGCAGACCGATGACAACTCCGCAGAAGACAGTGGCGGCGCTGAAAAGATTGGGCAGGAGGAAAGGGTACTGATCCCAGATCGAGCCCGCTTTGAAGTACTGCGGGTAACTTTGAACAGGCTCGGCGAGTAAGCCACCAAGAGCAGGTCCGACAATTGAGCTGTGCAAAGTCAGACACTAGTCAGTGAACTCTGGCGAGTCGCGTAGTAGGGGTACGCTCGCCACAACAAACTCAACTTACCCAAGACACCAAACTAGGGGCATAATAGTGTATGCGCGGGCTGCACAGAGTTAGCTCATTACCTGTAACCGGGAAAGACTTCCGAACATACGCTGATGCTCCTTGACCGTAACCAACTCCGCGACAGTCGTTTGCAGGACACCAATATTTCTTTGCCAAAGTCAGCCAAAGGTCAATTTTTGCCAGTGGGCTGGCTCGTAGACTCGACATACCCGTTCAACAGACCACCGAGAGCTCGCGCAATGAGTGCAACCGTCAAGTTGGGGGCAAACCCGAAAACCAAAGAGCTCAAGGCCGTGCCAAAGAGGCCCATCAAGAGGACAGGCTTGCGACCAATCTTGTCGCTCAGTCTTCCCCAAACGACTCCTGTCGAAAACTCGGCCAAAGTGAATGCGGATGTGATCATGCCGGCGTAGACGGAAATCTTGCTCTTGTCTTCGGTGATGTTGAAGTGTTCGACCATCTTATAGACGTAGGGGAAGATGGACATGAATGCAATCGGTTCGCATATTCTGCAGAGCGCTGGTTGAAGAGCGTGTTAGCGGGCATCCTGCGGTGAGCCCATCTAAGACCGCTGGATGAGGATATGCATACCGAGAACAAACATCTGTGTCGTGGGAAAGGGCGGAAGCTTGGACTTCATGCTCCCCGAGGAGCCGCCTCGACGGCCTCCCGTCATGTAGCCGGTCCTCTTCATCTTGGTTGATCCTCGGTGTATGCGCAGTTGGCAGGCTGGATGTTGTGTGAGGCGCAAAGAGATTCGGTAGGCGGTTGGAAAGATTTCGGATCAAGGGATGGGTGGGCGATGTAGCAATATATAGCACTGCAGTTCCCGTAACGTCTTCGGTGGGCTCAAGAATCGAGGGAGAAAAACGGTATCGTGGAGCTGGTGGTCCAGATTGGTGTGGGCAAGAATTTGTTTTGCTAGTCTCGTGGAAGGGAGGAAAGCGTGTTGATGCTCGAGACTGATGATGTAACCATGAAAAGCAACGATGGAAAAGCAAAGATAAAACAAGCAGAGCGAGATCAAAGCTATTCAGACAGCGTGGCGGGATGGTTACCTTATGAAAGAAAGTATCAGATGGGACAAAAAGTAGCAAGCTCTGGGGAAGCAAGCAACTTAATATGAAGGGAGCGCGGACGGTGACGATGAGAGGACCAAGAGACGTCAAAGCCCAGGGCCACCCCAGACACAGACCAGACCCAGCTGGGGGACAGGCCACCGGGACCGTACCATTGCCTAGGTCGCGGAAGCAAAAAAATTTGGATCTAAGATTGGAACGGCGGTGACCATGGACCATGGCATGTCCAGCGCAAAAAAGAAACAAGACGATCCTCCCACTTGTCCACCGGGGAGGGATTCAGGGAGATGCGGCGGCGAAAGGTCCCACGTCGTGGGAAGGGATCCAACTGCCCGGCATGACGGCCGTGGGGCCTGAGAAGCCCTGTACCTGATCCAGGGGTACCCCCCAGACAAGACTCGGTGGGCTTTTTTCTCCATACATGCGCAGTCGGGGGGTGTGTGAGTGTGTAGGCATGTGTGTGCGTGCGGCGCGGCGTGCCCCCTTACCCATGTCGAGATGACGGTCCCAAGGCCATGAGTGTTCGCCTTACGGCTGTGGATAAGTGTAAGTCGGTACGTCCATGGCTCGGCCACTACCTACGCGACGGGTACTACCCGGATGAGATTCCCTAGACGCAATCCGTTGTTAGCAGCTCAGTGGTGTCAAGGGGAGGATGGGGTTCGGAGCGAGCGGATATGTGGGTGTGGGTGTGTGTGGAAGGGAGACTTAGAGAGAGAGAGAGAGAGAGAGAGAGAGAGAGAGACACACACATCACACACACACATACACAAAGTGAAAAAGCCGTGAGAGTAAGAGAGTGAGTGAGAGAGAGAGAGAGTATCCGAAAGGTACAAGAGTACTTCCCTTGACCAGACGAAGAGAGTACGTACTCAACCAGACCGACATGGACGGAGTAGGAAAAGTAGGCAAGGGGTGGTAGACTCGGGGAAGGATGGCGCCAGACCGGAGGGCAAGGATCAACAGAGGAATAAAAAAGGTTTCACAAGAGGCAACGAGGCTAGAGCCGCGATGGGACTGGGCTGGATTTGGGAGAGGGAGACTTTTTGGAGCAAATGGAGCCAACTCGGAATTGGGGTGTGGGTAGTTGCAGGGCGCCAGAAATAAGAAAAGCAAAAGAAAATTAGCCAACCGACGCAACAGGTTACAGCAGGACAAGGAAACGAAAGCCAACATTTACCTGCACTTTCGTCGATGGCCGCTGTGTAGCGACTACGCGTCCATCAAGTGCCCGTCACTCTCTTCTGGCCCATATCGCAGCGCATCGCATCGCATCGCATCGTAATGCCAAAAAGCCTGTGATGCGCAACGCAACGGCATCTGCTCCGTCCTGATCCCGGTCCCTTGCTCCCATCTCGCCTTGTCTGCTCTGGTGGCAACTACATCGTGAGGTGCACGGAGTACCATAGTAGGTAGGTATTGGTGTACGGATAGCCTTAGACACAATGTGCTTGTCTCGGAAAATCCAGCTCGAATAACCACCCGGGTTTCGGGCTTCATTTACCAGCATGTATCAGCCTTGGGTTCTTCGGCCGTGTCTGTCCAGACCATTCTCAACCTGCATACTGTGCTTTGAATACTAGAACCATGCGCACTGTCATTGTGGTATGGTGCCCTTCTGTCAAACGCCTTTTGATGGGTAGCGAGACGAGCATCTCGACACTGTACTGTTGTTTCCCGGCCTTCCATGGGCGGACGAGAAGACGAGATGATGTATCTTGTCTGCGATGTGAGGCACCCAAGGTGCAAGGTGTGTACTTACAGCCCAAGGTTCACAACCCCCGGCACTTGGGTCGCATGGCTGGCTTTGTTGGAGGCTGTAGCAAGGGGGGGGGGTCGACATTGGATTGTTGGATGAAAGCGACAAACCACCGACCGAGGGCTGGTCAAACGCTAGTTGACTGTATTGTCGAGGGAGGGCGACATGGGGAAAAAACCCAGGCTGTCCCTGTGGCTCAGTAATAGACCGCCTCCTTAGCAGGGTGAACTAATCCTGTTCCCCGCGCTGCCTGTGCCTGATCTTTTGCGGTGAGCGGCAGCACAAATACAAGACGTTAGCTTTGCAGCCATTTGATTGGGACATCAGGGGTGGGCTTCCATTACGGATCATCCTGAATATTCCTCTGGAGCTTTCCCTGACTCCCTATTGTTGGGCAAACTGAGGTGGGACGCGGGTATGCTTCCTGTCGCACGCGGAGCTTATCACGCCCCAGAGAGCCTGCATCAGAGCGCCGAGGATCTGAGTAACAAGGCCGGGCTGATAGAACCACCTCGTCGTCCGCTTTTGTGAGGCGGTGAATGAAAGGAAGCAGGACCAGGGCCGCGGAGTGTCCCTCCCGGCGGATATCGACACCTGTTGCGCCAGCGTCGTCGGCCTTGAGCTGTTCGAAGGGAAAGAAGCCGTTGCCGTTACGGTTTCCCGCTGCCGCTGCCGCCGCACACTGACTCGGAGCCTCTCTGCCGGATCTCTGGAGTCAGGACGTAGGGGCCTGTGTAGATAGATTCGCAACTCGCTCATCTTGGTAGTAAGGATACGCGTTGCTAGATACACAACGTACGGCCCCGTAGATGTGTTTGCCTCGGCGTCTTGCTGAATACGAGAGAGCATCCGTAGTCACACAGTACTGGTGCTTGCAGCGGCCGTATGCGATTGTGGAGAGGCGCCTCTCAAAGGTCGCACAGCTCTATCGGCCGAGACGTGATTCCGCCTGTGACTGTAAATCAAGGTAGCGTCGATGGGGTATGTGCCGTGACGTCTGAAGAGGGCGACCCTCAAGACTGCTGCAGCTTGCTTGCTCAAGCGCCCAGTGTACGGCTCGAGGTCCTGTTGGTCGCATGCACCCTAACCATGACAGCTTCCGATTGGAATGACAACAGCACACCTTTGTTGCGCGCGAGCGGTTGATTTAGGGACCCCCTCTTCAACGGTGTAGAGGTTGTAAGGCGAACGGACACCCAAACGAACCGACTCAGGCGGTGCAATGCAAGCCCAACCTGAGTCTCTCATCCGTCCCTTTAACTATCCCCTCTTTCAAAGAGTCATATCGTGACATGTCGGCATCTTACTTGCGCACGCCTGGTCACTTGACGATGCATCTTACTCCGCAGCAAAGAGGGTTGTGTTGCGCTGGCAAACAGTCAGCCTGTTTGCTGGCTGTCCTGTTCAATGACAATCGCGTTGCCCCGGTTCAGACTCTCGGCAGGCGTTTTCGCATCCTGGATTTGCCCACTCGACCGACACGTCGGCACCCGGAGAATAGACTGGTAGGATCGGTGGACTCACGTGCTTGTTGTAGTGCACTTTACTATCCTGTACGGATTCGTGACTGAGTGTTGACGTTGTCCTGGCGAAGCCTGAAGGTACGAGTCGTCGAGTACTACTCCGTACAATTGCAGTCCTCAACTGTTCCCACAGCATGGGGCAGCACGAAATAGCCCTGGTGTCACCTTGATTAACAGCGACAAGTGGGCGATGGAGACGAACCAACGGACTGGGCCAGCATGGGCTGGGTAGGTATGTACACTACGAATATCCATAGACCAGGCCGCAGTGTTGGCCCGTCTCCAGAGGCATCCGTTGTGTCGGTGAAGTTGTAAACACGAGCCGACAAATGAAGCAACCGGGGTTGTGATGAATGGAAAAAGTCTTTTTTTCTTCTTTGACAAGGGTTAAGGAATCCTGGTCGTTGGCCGTCATTTCTCTGACCCTGCTCGCAGAATCCTCGCTGCTAGATCTCGCATTCCCAGCCACTCTAGCCGGACAGGCTGTTGCAGCAAGACGAGGCTGTTTAATTGTCGCTCTGGGTGACTGCCGCAGTTCATCACTTCAATTGCTTTTCTTTCCCAATGCTTCATAGGGGTCTTGGTCTGCTCGGCATCTTGCAGGAGCGCTCGGACACAGTGGCCACAACTCGTTGATTAAATAGCTTGTTTGGGCGTCGCGGAAGCCGGGACGGTAGGTGATAGTCAGGAGTGTGCTGCTTGCCAACTTGCCACTCCCATTATTGATGGTCCATCTGACAAGGTCAAGGGGCTGAAGGTCAACGCAAAGTTTGAGAGACGCGGAAAATGAGGGCGTCCGTTGGCGAGAATTACAGGCTAGGGCTCGAGCTTGGGCACAGCGAGCTGGTTTCGAGCCAAGTGCCTGAGTGTCCTACGGATAAACAGTAATTAGTGTATTCGTACGCATAGAGCAGAGTCCCTCGTCCTCTTCTTCTTGCCCCCTTTCCCCCGTCAGGGCCGCAGCTTTCCACTGCTAAGCCCAGAACCGAGGTCTACCCCAGTTTGCAGGACATGAGTCTCCGTACAAATATAGTGGATTGATGACGGCTGGTCCCTGTCCAAAACCATGTGGCATGGCTGGTATTCTTCCCCGAGCTGCATCATTGCGCCCAAAATATTCCTCCACCTCGGGATAGGTGAGGGCAACATCTGCCTGGTGTCTCTACTTGGGACACGGGTGCAATCTAGTCACAGTTGGCAACACTTCGGTAACCTTATGCGAAGAGGATGCTTGTTGCGATGGACGATCTTCTCGTGGCGTCGTGAACTACCCGTATTCAATGAGGAAGTATTGGCTAACCCTGAATACACCAGAGCAATTGTACCAGCTGTGTCATGCCCACTGCCGGGGCTCTTGGGACCGGAAGCCGGAATACCTCTTCCCTCAATCCATTTCCGGAAACAGAGTTTGCCATTGTCTGCGATCTCGCGCTGCGCAGAGGTGTGCCGTGCTGGGCAGGTTGTTGCAGCGGCGTGGAACTGTTTCCATCTTGCCTTACTGCTCTCCTCCAAACAAAGCGTGACCGGATAGCATCCGCGCTTTCGCCGTTGGTGAACCCAGAACAACCCTGGCTCAAGGTGGCCATAGCCCTGGCGGCAACTGTTATCGTGCAATTTGGGAGTGATGTCGACCGCCGAAGAAGAAAGCTGAGCCTGGAGCACCCGTACTGAGCTACCACGAGCACCAACAAAAGTCGGCCCGCAAAACGAAATGGCGGTGATCCCCTCCAAGGTACATCGCAATCAGGGAAATTGGCTTTCGTTTCCACACTAGGTCAGGGGTACCCAGTATCGAATCCCAGTGAAGCGTCCAAGCACCCCCATACAACCGTTCCTCTGGGCCCTGATCGGGCGAGTGCCGGAAGTGGTGCCGAAACGCAAGGTAGCCGGTTCTGAGAATGTATCAGTGCATAGGTACCGTTTTGTATCCTCTCGTTCTCTCCTCACCGGTCCCGTTTTTTCCGTGGCCCTCCGTCGCCGACTATCATCATATCCATCTTTCAACAGGAAATTTCTCTCCGTCGTCAGGAAACGACAAGGAGAATATTCGTTGCGGAGAGGGCCTAGTGACTCGCTTCTCCCCTAAGGTAGACAGAAGAGCAGCAGACCAAGGAGAAAATGCGATGGATGGCTGCAT